TAGCAGTAGCAGTAATAGTAATAGTAGTAGTAGTAGTAGTAGTAGTAGTAGTAGTTGTAGTAGTAGTAGTAGTAGAAGTAGTAGTAGTAGTAGTAGTAGTAGTAGTAGTAGTGATGGTAACAGTAAAAGTTGTAGTAATAGCAAAGTTGTAATGGTAGTGATAGTAGTAATAGTAGCAGAAGTAGTTTTGTTGTTGTTGCTGTTGCTGCTGTTGCTGTTGTTGTTGTTGTTGCTGCTATTATTGTTGTTGTTGTTGTTGCTGTTGTGGTCGTCGTCGTCGTCGTTGTTGTATTATACCTCGGCTGCCGACTAGCTCCAAACCTGTTTTGCAGAACGAACCGTCCGCCCCCTCAAGAAAAAATGTTATTGTTGTTGTTGCTGTGAGGTAAGAGGAACTGCAATAGTAACAACAACAACCACCACCACCACCAACAACAACAACAGCAGAAATTATAGCAACCATAACAAAAATATTGTTCCTAAAGTAGCATTTGCATTCTTTTGCTATCATGTTGATACTGATCGTAACTACTATACTTAAAAAAAGGCTAAGATGGCTACAGAAAGGCTGCCAACAGTCGAGGAGTCAAGAAGCTCCTCTTTCACTGACCTAGCTTCGATTGCTTTTTTGCACTCCCTCCAAGCTGGGCCTTTCCTTCGCAGAGTGCTGTTGCAAATGACGAAAGCCGCCAGGCTACAGTTGGCTTCACGCAAGTAGTCATAGGACACGGCATCCAGAGCTCCAGGGAACACGGCGTTCAAAACGTCGAGAATGTACAACTGCTCTCCAGCAAATCCAAAACTGTTGGGAACTCGACTGCTCAGGATTTCCTGGGCTGGCTTCTGAGCTCAAAAAGAAGAGAGTGTCATACGACCCTGAACCCTAAAGCCCAAAAGCCATCCCATAAACCCCGAATGGAAACCTTGCTGTAGAGTTTTCGCAAGCTTCGAAGACCAGGCCCAAAAATGTAAAGCCCCTCTAGAGGCGCTGAAAAGGGGCCTCTGAACCCTCAAACCCTAAAGCCTGGTGGGGGAAGCTTCTGTAAGCTTCGACGCCCAGCTTTGTGGATTCGTCTTGTGCTTGTTCTGCTGAAGCCAACGGGATGTTATCCAGGCCTCGAGTTGCCGGGGCTTGGGGTTTAGGGTTCAGCCTAAACCCTAAGCCACAAACTGTTAAACCCTAAACCCTAAACCATAAGGTTTAGGATTTAGGGTTTGGGGTTTAGGGTAAGGGGAATTATAGGTCCTTAAGGGATCTATAAGGGCTACTTTTTTGGGTACAAAAGGATCTAACAGAAAGGCTTAAAGTTTCGTGGTTAAGGCTTCTTTCTCGGGTTGAGAAGCAAACTCCACGGTGATACGTTAAAGGCTTTATTTTGGCTTATGGCTAGTGCTTTTTGGCGTTTTTGAGGTTTAGGGTTTGGGGAAACCCTAAATTTTTTAAATCCTAAACCGGGGCTTAATAGTGAGGAGTTGCGGGGCCTGCAACTTACAGGCCCCTGAACCTTGCGACCCGTACAAAGTCGTTCAGGGTTTTGGGTTTAGGGGTTTAGGGTTTAGGGTTAGGGCAGGGCTTAAGGGTTTATAGGGTTTGTCGTTAGAACCCCCTGAAGGACCCTTTTATAAACGCCTCCGGGTCCCTGTGAGCAACCACGACGGAGATGCAAGCTTTGTCAACGCCAGGATGCAGCAAAGACAGCCTTGTAAGATTTTGTTTCGGATTAGGGGGTCCCTTGAGCATACAGGCCCTCTCAACAATGTAACAAGGTCCCTCTTAAGAGAGCCAGAAGTAGGGTTAAGAAGGGCCCCCTTTAAGAAGTCTCCCTAATATTGCCTAGGACTTCAAGGCTTGACTACTGTCGGGCTTCTGGTCAGGACTCAGATTTAAGGGATCCTTTAAGTGATCCGTTGAGTTCCCTCAAGGGACCTAGCACAAAGTGAGTTTGGAGTTCGGGGTTTAAGGTTTTAGGGTCTACAGGTCTTGGAGCTTTGGGTTTAGGGCTTAATTGGAGATTCTCTTTAAGTCACCATGACAATGTGTGCGTATATATTTAGGGTTTAGGGCTTAGGGTTTCATATATGTATATGCACATACAAATTATGTTTGCTTTCCCGTGCAAACACTGCTAAAACGCCTTACACCACATAAATCTAAGACGCAAATAGCCCCAGTCCGTCTCGTTGAATAGGGCGAACTTCTCACTCGACACGATCACCTCCGAAGAGCCCTTCATTGTGTTCTTGAAGAACATGATCCACTTCTGTAGCCTGGGGTGTCGCTAGGGAACCTATCTCAAGGTACAATATTCATGGAAACCATGTTCTTACTGCATAATGCGATAATGCTATCATGCCGGCTAACTTGAACCAAAGTCTTCAACAAGAGCCCAGTTTCTTCGTCTCGCTGAACTTTGTGCCAGGGACGCGTGATGGATCCAGCTTGGCCCGAACTAAGTCTGAAAGCTCCAGCGCCCACTTTCTCACCCCTGTCGGGAAGGGCACTGTGATACCCATCGCGTCCTGAAGCCTGAGTACACAAGAAGCCCATAGTAAACCGCTGTAGAACCCGATGGACTCTTCGAAAGAACTCGTAACGCCCCGTGAAACCCTTGATCACACCCCCACCAAACAAAAAACTAAAAACCGTCTTTTAAACCCTTACATCCTGTAAGGCAAGGTCACCGAAACCCATCCTGGAAGGCAAGGTCACCGAAACCCGGCAATACGGTTTCTTACAAACAAAAACCCTTAAAGGATCCCTAGGTTATTTGAGGTTAAGGTAAGCCCTAAAGCCTAAACTCTGAACCCTAAACCCTAAAAGCCCCAAAGCCCAGGCACCAGTCTCCATGTGCGCGGAGGTAGGATTGCAAGGCCGTGGTCCCTGTCCTCACGAGTACGGTGTGTATAAGGTTTAGGGCCTTAGGGTTTAGGGCTTAGCTGACCCCTTAAGGGCTTAGGGTTTGCAGTAGGGTTTAGGGCTTAGGGGTTCAGGGTTTATGGTTCAGGGTTTAGGACTGAGGTAGGTTTAGGGTTCTGGTTTTACGGTTCAGGGTTGGGCCTTTTAGGATGCTACATAGTTGCTACAGGGGGGTGGGGTCTGGGTTTCTCGAAAAGTTTTGCTTTGGCTTTAGGCTCACAGCCGTGGGACCTGTAGAATTGAGTAGACCAGAACAGGATGACACTTTTAGCTTGTGGCGTCTGGCAAAGCAGAGCCAAGAAACAACCGCGTTCGAGATGTACTCCACGACTCCGCCCCCGAGCAAAGCCACAAAAAAAATGGTGAAACGGTTTGCAACCTCCACCACACACCCTTGAAAAAAACCCTCACGAAGAACATGCAAAGAGACTGCATGTGTTAAAGACACAGCCCGAAATTCCAGACAACCCCAGCGTCTCAACCCCCTAGCCGAGCCCAGACCCCCAGCTCGAAAACAACCTCGGTCAAACCATTTGGGTCAAAACTCGGGGATCCAAACCCTGCATCGTTTCTAAAAGCCCCCTAAAGCCTTAAACCCTAAGCCCTATAAACCCTAAAGCCCTATAAACCCCAAGCCCTAAAAGCGCGCGAAGCGTCTTGTAGGGCCCAACATGAAGTATCAGCTTGGGGCCAGAGCAGCGATCCAGCGGCTTTTTCGGAAACGCTGAGAGAAGAAGAGCGTTAGGTCGGGCCACGTACCTTGAGTTGAGGGTTGAAGGTTTAGAGTTGAGGGTTTAGGGTTGAGGGTTTAAGGTTTGGTCTGTTTCAGAGGTGTGGGAATTCTGTGTGAAAGGGCCCGAAACCCTAAACCGTCAACCCTTACCTCCTGAAGCCCCGAGGGGGAGGTGGGGCAAGGACTTTTTGCAAGATTTTGTGGGGCTCCTAAGCGCTACACTCGATTTAGGGTTCCAGGTCTCGAGTTCAAAGTATTGGGTTTGAAGATCGGGGGTGTGAATTGAATTTCTTTGTAAGGGGGACTGCAGTGGCGCCTACAACGGCTACGATAAGGATTTCTATAAGGATTCCTTTGCGGGACTCTAAGGGTCATTGCACGGGTTCCTGTGATGTTCAGGGTTTCTTCATGGTGTCTGCGTTGGGCTGAGTGGCCGACGGCGCAGGCTCTTGCGGTTTAGGGTTCAGGGTATAGAGAGTGTGGCGTGTTGGTATGGCTTCGGACGAGCGATAAATAAGACAACGCGAGAAGATGAATGTACGAATACAGTGTACCGAGAATGTCAGGTTCGAGCATGAACACAATACGTAAATCCAAATTGTACAGTTACAGCTTTGACGGTAATGTGCTAGCATTCGCGCAAAGCTAACCTGCTTCTTCATCTAATTGCTGCAGAGGAGTCTTGCATGAGACCTCCCCGCAGCTTTGGGATTCTTCAGGGATTTGGAATTTAGGGCATGGGAAGGAGATGTTTGCAAGATGGACACCGGACCAAAACGAGAAGAATTAGACTGCACCAGAGGCAATAGGGGTGAGAATATACACCGCAAGTTGCACATGCGCACATGACATGACAGCCGCAAAGTGCTGATGAGCACAACATGTGTTTATTCTAGCGGCTCTAGCGCAATAAGTGTAACCTACAAAAAGGTAGCTTAAGGTAAGTTTCTAGACGACCATGGTAACTGTCATGTACACACGTTGAAAATCCTTTCTCAATCCTGCAAGCAAAGCAGGATCCTAAAGCCCCGAACGCAAGACTCAGCAACTTGTAGAACACTGCAAAAAATGCAACTTCCCACGACTCCCTGTGAACCCGAAACCGAAAGAAGCCCTCAAATTCTAAAACCCTACACGCAAAAATCCTAAACCCTGTGACTCCATCCGGGATGCAGCAGACAAAGAGAGATCACCATGGCAACAGCGGCCAGACAGGCTGCGCGCTTCATCGTAGCTGGGGTGTAGGATCTTGGTGCATTGGGGATTGAAACCTTGTGGTGTGACAAAGCGAATCGAGAAGGCTCTGTAAGCGTTGGGCTCCAGGTGCACAGAACCAAACTAGGGTCCCGGCTGGAGCAAAAGTCGGACGATCACTCTGGCTCGAAATACGCAATTAACCCTCAAACCGTCACCCTCTTCTCGTTCGCTTCTGTCGTACTCAAACCTTCGCCCCTGCTCTAGACTTCGTGCCCTCAACCCCACACGCTTGTTTTTGCCGGCTCTTCGCCCGAAACCTGCGGGTGTGAACGGAAATCTGCACCAAGATGCCTCTGGCAACTTAGGCGTCTGCTGTCACTGGCACCTTCCGGTTCCGAAACCAGAAACAGCTTAAAATTGGAGGTTCCTGTCATGTCTAAAAATGTTCCTTTAAGGACTATATGATTTCAAACAGATTCGGGCCTGAGCTCAAGCATGTATAGGGATTTCAGCCATTAGCTTTTGTAGTTTCTAGGTTTTAGTTCTCATATGTTATGAAAGCCTTAATCGTTAAAACAGTGTTTTGGTGTATAGTCTGCTACTGCATTCAACTACACCAAGGAGCTCCAAGGACTACTGCTGCTGCTGCTGCTCCTACTACTACTACTACTCCTACTACTACTACTACTACTACTACTACTACTACTACTCCTGCTCCTGCTCCTGCTGCTGCTGCTGCTGCTGCTGCTGCTGCTGCTGCTGCTGCTAGAACTACCCTCTTTTTCCCTGCATGTGCACGTGTGCCGGTATAGGTTATTGATGGTTGCTGTATGCGGCCCTATGTACCTCTAAAACCCACAGCTTTACGATATCCTGTCGCATGGGCAATTGGGAGTCTAGAGCGGTAGACCTCGCCACTACGCGAAGGTACGCGGAGAGTTGCTTGAGGTGCGCAGAGCAGCTTGTAAGTGAAGGAAGTTGCAGAGTTCGACTGCGTTTAGTTCGTCACTCATGGGTGGAGCTCGGGGATTCGGGAATATTGCAGTACATCCGCCTTCGGATGAGGGACAGAAGCCCGAATGAGGGTGCTTCCATATCGCGTCCATGCCTCACTGCCTTCTGGTTCCCTTGCGCTAGTGTTGGACATATACTATACCAGGCTTGGCTATGCTGTGCTGCGCTCCGCTGTGCTGTGCTGTGCGAGGCTAGAGTGAACTATCCGTCCATCCATGCGTCCGTCCGTCCGTGCATCCATCCATCCACCCATCCAGCCGTCTATCTGACTGGTGTACATATGTGTGTACATTGCAGTAGGTAGATGATTGCAGGCGTGTAGTTGTGTCTATACATCTAGGCTACCCATAGGCCCCTAAGTAGTTCCTTTTTGTGGTTTATATTTAGAATCCTATAAGGTAATCCCAAAAAGGAACTACTTAGGGGCCTATGGCTAAGCACATGCTTCCATGTTCGTGTGTGTCATGTGGAAACCTGTCAGGTGCTGCGGGAGGCGCGGCGCAAGCAAGCTGGGCTTGTGCCTTTCAAAGCGGTGTACCATTGGCCACGACAGGGGCACCCAGAGCAGCAACTAAAGCGGTAAGCTTAAAGTGCCAGTATGTCCATGTTACGACCGGAAAACTTGGACCGAGACCTGCGGATTGGATTTCTCGGCCATTGCAGGTGGCCTGCATCCCGACAGAACCGGAAGGTGCCCTTGCGCGGCCAGGCACTTCACCCCAATAGCCTGTCTTAGTTGGGTCTTCGAGTTTGAGGACGGATTGAACCGGTATTTCCTGAAGGTTTTTCGGGGGCACACCTCGGAAGACTGTTTGTGTTTCGGGAATCTTCTCCGTACCAAGCCGGCGCCCACTTGGTGCGGTCAAGGCTTATGGTGTCTAATATAGGGGCCAAACAATTCAATTCAAGTAGGGTTTGGGGGTACATTATACTAAACCTATAAGAAGGAGCCCCCACAACAGTACTATGATTATTGAGGCCCCTATATTGGATTAAAATGCGGCGAATGACACGGAAGTCAGGGTTTCAGCTGCCAAGGCATGGGTTGGGCTCCAATGGTGCAGGGTTTCCTAGGTAGTACTAGGGAGGCCACTTAAAGGGGACCCTTCTTAACCTTACTTCTGGCTCTCTTAGAAGGGACCTTATTGAAAGGGTCTATATCCCCAAGGGTCCCTCTAATCCCAACTCCAAGGGTTCAAGACACTGCGAAATCTTGATGCTTTTTTTGAAGTAGAGCTCCGAGAAGTTCAGGAGGCTTTCGGACAGTAACGAGAAGTGCACAGTGGTGGAGCTCATGACTTGTTCTTAGGGTTCGTTCTAACGAGGGTTCTCTGGATGCAGAGATTCTGACACAGCAGAAATTCTGCCGGGGAACCCCCGGAGGACCCAACAGTCATGCGCTTTTTAAGGGCTTAAGATTTCGATTTCGAGTCGAAGGGTTGGAGGCATAGACTCTCAGAAGCCTCGGGCCCAGAACCTGAGCAAGAAGCACCTGGGTTAGGGTTTAGGGGTTTTGGGGTTTAGGGGTTCAGGGGTTTAGGGGTTTAGTTAGGGGTTTTGGGTTTAGGGCCAGTTTAGGGTTAAGATGCCCTTTCAGGTGAATGTCTACTGCCACCGGAGGCCCTGCCGAAGCCCCTGCAGTCAGAGAGAAGC